AACAGAACCTATTGCATCTGCAATGTTTTCAATCTCTGAATTTGGCCTCCAGACCTTCGCAGTACCAATCTTCACAACTTCGACCCAAACCTTGCTTGCATTTGGACCAAGTGGCACAAAGTGACACAACTCTTTGGGATCCGTTGAAGCTACTCTTCCCTCAGCTACCTTACGTCCAGAGTTGCTGCAATCTAAAAGGATACACTTCTGCTTTGCACTTTTGGTGGAACTAGAACTGCCTGGACTCTGCAACTCACACCACATAATCGAAGCAATTTAGAAACATAAATCAATATAAAAACATCAATCAGATAAAAAAATGCAAGAAAACAAAACAAACCTCTGCTTTATCCTTGACTGGTTTTCTAGGTGATGCTTTCTTCTTGGCTGCAGTTTTAGTAGGTGTTGCATCTGAAGGTATCGCTGTAGCCATNTAGAAACATAAATCAATATAAAAACATCAATCAGATAAAAAAATGCAAGAAAACAAAACAAACCTCTGCTTTATCCTTGACTGGTTTTCTAGGTGATGCTTTCTTCTTGGCTGCAGTTTTAGTAGGTGTTGCATCTGAAGGTATCGCTGTAGCCATTACTTCAAACTTTAGAACTGGCCATGCGATTTTCTCGTTAATAACATCACCAATCACAAACATATCTGCAGTTGGCCTCCACAAATGAGCTTTATCATTATACACGTTGACAACTTCAATACTGACAGCATTTGGACCAAGCGGTATATTGTTAACCAGCTCTATGGCATTAGAAGAGCACACGAGACCTTCAGCAATAACCTCCTCCTCTTCATTTGTCCAATCATATATCTTGCATCTTCGAGTTTCACCTTCCTTGGGCTGCTTAAATGCAACAAGTTATTGATTAGAGACATTAATACTGCATAGTACTAGCTTCTACAAAAGAAATCAAGCTTTGAAATCTTACCAAGGACACATCATGAGAAGAGGTAGGATTCTTGTCCAAAATCACTTTATTTACTGGCCAAGCTATTTTGGATCCTACAGCTTCCTCAAGAGAAAACACTTCTGTTGTAGGCCTCCAAAGAGATGCTTTTGAACTTAATGCAGACTTAACAAGAACTGCCACTGCATTAGGACCAATTGGTACACGACCAATTTTGTATATCGGTTCATCAGAGCAATATTCTCCTTCGCCAACAACAACATCTTCTGAATCAAACCAATCCAGTATTTTTACTCTCACTCCTTCTTTGAATCCAGCACTAGCCTCAGATGTTTCAGTATCACCATTACTTTTCTGTAACAAGGAAATGGAATACTTAAATGTCTTTAGAGTAATTCTACGTTACCAAATATAATGAAGAAATGCTATCTTCTTTCCAACCAATTCTCTGACCATTCCCTTTAACTCCTCAAGCTCACTCTCCATATCAGCAATCTTTGCGTCTCTACACTGAAGAAATGCTAGCTTAGTAGCCGTAACCCCTCTACCAAACCCTCTTACTCGTCCAGGTTTGTCTCTTCCCAAAATCTTGCTCACAGCATCTTCCCTTATGTTCTCAGCAGCTGAT